GTGCCCCTCGGGTTTGAAGGGGACTCGCGGCACTGTAGCGGCCCAGGGGTACTGCTGGCTGCAGGTACGGTCGTCTAAGTTATTTCCTTTTTTTTAAGGTCTTGCGTCAAATTATATGTCTCGTAGGGAAATCTCCCGCTGTGGAGTAATCTGCTTCATCATGACAAAGGTGAAGGTGCGCTGTCCTTGCTCCTTCTGCCTCTGATTTGAGATTTGCATCCAAGTGAAGTTGCAATACTCTTCACTCTTGGTGTTAAAAAGAGGTAGCGCCCATCTCGGCTTCAGAGTTGTTATCTTCCCAGTGACTGAGCATCTTCAGGTATCGGATCTTGTGATGGAAAATGTCAGTGGTGAAACAAGAGGCATGTGAATTGCTAGCACCCCAAGTATGCTAAAATCACCGAGGTCCTGTTGTCACTGACATAAATCTTGTAGAGTAGGCAAACACATGAGTGATTTGGGGGTGGGAGGCTTCATAGGTTGACAGCCTGAGAATTAAACTCTCTGCTGAACTGGAAATTAAATACTTTGTCTTCCCCACACAAGGGCAGCAACGTGCATTATTCTCCTAGGTGAAGATCACCCAGCAGAACCAATCATGTGTGGTGGGGTGGGAAGCACTGCTCTGAGTCCTTTCTGGTCACTGACTGGGCTGCATGTGTTGTCTTAGCAGCTGAGAAAGCTATGGATGGGAAGGAGAAGAGGGAACACTCTCAGAGGTAGTATCTGAAAGCACTTGCAGCTTAAGCTGGGAGACAGAAGACTCTTGTGTTCCTTAGTGATCTGAAAGACAATGAAAATACAGTGGTTTTAAGATGAACATGTATTTGCATGTGTTTTGAAGCACCTGAGTGCAGCTGCTGGCAGGCTGGATGCCTCTGGGTTTATACTGTGTTGCAGCCTGAAGGATTGAATTGGATGAACCCCTTGATTTGTCCTGGACTAATCATCTTACAAATGACAGGTTTGTTTTGTGCCTGCTGTAGCTGATGTGACCCACAGCAGCAGAGGTTGTAATGCAGCAGCTCATGCTCAAGGGCAGAAATTGATATCCCAAGAGCATTTTTACATTACTTGTATATTTTATCTAGGATTTGACTCTCCTCTGTAGAGGAGGTGACAGGTCCATGAGCTGCTCAAAAATTGAAAGCTGGAAGAGGACAGGCATGAAATTACAACAGTTGCTCTTTAAATCTTGCTTAAAAAGTGTTCCATGTGCTATGTTGATGTGTATTAGGAAACTATATGGTTGGGTTTTAAATTCCTGGTAAGCAAGAGTTAACTACCTTATGTCTAACTAGTCTGACCCTGGCAGCTGCAGTCTTCACAAGTAGTTGGGGCAGAAGAAGGTGAGGCCTCAATTAGACTGTATCTGTCAGGAAGCACCTGGCTGCAATAGAAACCTGGAACACTTAAAAAGAGAGAAGTATATTAATACCAGTTGGAGTTGCGTGACTGTAGGACATATGTAAATATCTACATACTTCAAAATGCAAGCCACTTAAGCACAAGAGAATGATCTGGTCAACTGTGACAGGACTCCTTAAAAAGTGCAAAAGTTCAAATGAGGCTGTGACAAAATCTGGTCAGTGAGGTTCTCAAGTCCTTAGTCTGAGTAACGCAAACATGATATATGCCATCTGAATACATGCCAGCTCTTACAAGCTTCTTAGTCCTCCACAAATGAGCAAAAGGTTGGGGCAAGTATGGCTATTTCCAAAAAAGATTCTGCAGTGTATCTGAAGAAGGGTAGAGTTGCCTACAAAGACTGGAGTGCAAACTGAGTAATTGTTACCTGAAATTCTGACCAGGGTACAGAAGTGCTGTAGCTTTCTGCAGGAGTGAGGTGTACTTGGCCTTTATCCCATGAGTGGTAGATGCTGGGTGGTTGAGAAAGGAAAAACTTCTGTGAAAAGGAAGACATCTTCAGTCTCTGGCATAATTAAAATGGTTTCAGTGAACTGGATGTCTAAGCCCTGAAACTAACATCTGAGTGTCTTCCACCATTGTGTTAGTTGGAACACTTTGAGCTTTATGTATAACGAAACAAGTTCAAAGCTCAACTTTCAGGAGCGCTTTGCAGTTGTGGCTCTTGCTGGCTTCAGCTGGCACTGCAGATGATCTTAAATTTAGGCAAAGCTTACGTGTCATCTTTGTGGATAATTTTGCTTTAGCACAAACTGCTTTGAAGTACTTAATGCTGCCTCACCAAAAAAGGACAATGACAACTAGATTTTTTGCCTGCACCTATAGAGAAGCTGAGTATCATTTCAGGTGAAGGGCTTACTGATAATCATTGGTACATAGAATTATTTCTTTCTAGTTTACATCTCTGTGTGTAGACAGGAAAGCAGAGACTAGGACATATCTAGGAAACCTAAAAGTCTGACTTGTATTTCTTTTTATTCCACATCCCTACAGTTTCTTTGGAGAAGAAAAACCTTAAGATGGCAGGCAAAGGAAGTAACACAGACTGCATGTCATGCAGTGTACTGAACTGGGAGCAGGTCTGCCGTCTGCATGAGGTTCTTACAGAGGTGGTTCCGATCCATGGACGAGGTAACTTCCCGACGCTAAAGATAACTCTGAAGGACATAGTTCAGACTGTCCGAAGTAGGCTGAGTGAAGCAGGCATTGTGGTACATGACGTCCGTCTGAATGGCTCTGCAGCTGGTCATGTGCTGGTCAAGGATAATGGGCTGGGATGCAAAGACCTGGATCTCATCTTTCAAGTTTCTCTTCCAAGTGAGGCAGAGTTTCAGTTGGTTCGAGATGTGGTGTTGCGATCCCTCTTGAATTTCTTGCCAGAAGGAGTCAGCAAGCTGAAAATCAGTCCAGTAACACTGAAGGAAGCCTACATCCAGAAGCTAGTCAAAGTGTACACAGAATCTGACCGTTGGAGCTTGATATCACTTTCCAACAAACATGGCAGGAATGTGGAGCTGAAGTTTGTGGACTGTATACGTCGACAGTTTGAGTTCAGTGTGGACTCCTTCCAAATCATACTGGACTCCCTGCTGTTTTACTATGACTACTCGGAAACCCCCATGTCGGAGCACTTCCATCCAACTGTGATTGGGGAGAGCATGTATGGAGACTTTGAAGCGGCTTTTGATCACCTCCAGAACAAGCTGATAGCTACCAAAAATCCTGAAGAGATCAGAGGTGGTGGGCTTCTGAAGTATAGTAACCTTTTAGTACGAGACTTCAGGCCCATGGATAAGGATGAGATCAAAACATTAGAGCGCTACATGTGCTCCAGATTCTTCATAGACTTCCCAGACATCCTGGATCAGCAGCGCAAACTAGAGACCTACCTTCAGAACCACTTCTCCAAAGAAGAGAGGAGCAAATACGACTACCTCATGATTCTGCGCAGGGTGGTGAATGAGAGCACGGTCTGTCTCATGGGACATGAGCGAAGGCAGACTCTCAACTTGATTTCTCTGCTAGCGCTCAAAGTACTGGCAGAACAAAACATCATCCCTAATGCCACTAATGTTACCTGTTACTACCAGCCAGCACCTTATGTTAGTGATGTAAACTTCAGCAACTACTATCTTGCAAATGCTCCTGTGCCGTACAGCCAGTCCTACCCCACTTGGTTGCCTTGCAATTGATTGTTTCACTTGAGTTTTCTTAAGTGGAGGCTACTGAAGGCCAAGATGCTGAGTGTATATACAGACAAGTAATAACTGTCAGCTGGAGGTTTTCTAATGGAAATATGACTGCATTGGACTGTCCATTTCCTGGTGTGCAGAAGGAGTATGCAACCAGGTGACCTGCTATGAACTGTTCAGTATATCTCTACAAATGCCAAGAAGCCTTATTACCTCTTCACCAGGAGAAGAGAACCAGCAGCCAAATGTTAGAGGAGTACTTACAAAACTCTGTACTAGTTCTGGAAATGGCTATTAATGTGTGACCTAAGTGGAGTATTCGGTAAACTGGGTTAGTTAGTAGAGGAAAGACTGTAAAGTGTCTTAAGCAGAAGCCACTCCTGGAACAGCAACAAAACTCTGCTTTCTATTGTTTAACCTCATTACTCTATACTTCCTCAGTTCAAGTTCTGGCCAACTTTCTATTGGATTAATAGTGCAAGAGTGGGCTCATGTCATGCTTGGGCTGCTTCTACTTTCTGGCTGTGTAGAACTGGTAACAGTATGGATACTATCTCATAGAGGGCCTAAACTTTGTTTCCTGTATTACCTATATGGTCCTGCCTCAAGTTCAAGATTAATTTCTTGGAAGTTGAAGATGGATTAGTAAATCTATCTCTAAAGCATAAGCTGGCTAAATTTTTCTTGAGTACAAAAATTTGGAAGGTGGCATCTCTAAACATGCACCAAAACACAATCTAAAACTTGGTAATGTGAAAAGTGTTTGAAATGAGGAATTGAAGCCTTACATAGAATTGGAACCACAGTATGAATAGTTAGGATGGAAAAATACTGTTGAGTCCAGGCTCAAGATAAGCCTTTCTGACTGCATTGTTCAAAACAATTTTTGGCACAGTTGGAAAGTAGCACAGCTCTTGCACTGAGGTTTGGCCCAACTTTCTTCCTCACAGGTCCACAGCAAGCAAAAAAAAAAAACCCAAACAAAAATGCACCACCCCAAAAAAACCCAAACCACTGTAAGTTCCAGGATTATGTGCACTCCTGCCACAGTATAAATTTCTGAAGTGCCTCCTAAAATTAATTTCTTCTTGTACAACTTCAGGCATGTCCTGAAGGCTTGCCTTTCTGTCACCACTTAGGGGTTGAGCTTACTGGTTTATCACTATCACCTGGTCCCTGAATGAGAGAGTATTTTGAGTGGTTAGAGTAAAATTCTTCTTCTCTACTGGTCTTAACCCTCACTTGAAAAGGTATATAAACCCTAAGCCGAGCTCTCCACAGAAGCTGTATGTGTTGAAAGTCTGCCCCTGTTCTCAGAATAGCCTCTGGAAGAGTATGTACTCCCTTGGAGGTGTAGGGGGCTAACCTTCCTAAAGGGTATGTGCTGGACTTGCTGCTTTGAAACTCCTGTGCTTTATAAGGAAGGTTAAAAATTCCCCAGTTGTGTATATAGTGGTATTAGAAACTGGTATGTTAACTGGATGATTTTCACTGAATTGCAATAGTAAAATATACATAGCAAATGATACTGAGTTTCCTTTGCTTAACCAGAGAAGTAGACTAGAAAGGCAAATCTTAGAGCTATTTAATAGGTACGTGCAATGTTTAAGAATACTCATTTGCTAAACCTTTTTTAGCTGTCTCTGCAAGCTTGTGAGACCAAAGTGCCTGATCAAACAAATGATTTAAGCTTAGAAAGTAAAGCAGAAAGCAGGTGAAACACCACTGTATGGTTGCTCTTCACGGTGGAAAACAGTAGCAGTGCAGCACTTAAATGGCAGTAAAAAACCTGCCTGTTCCTCATAGGACCAAAAACTTCTAGGTACGTTGCACTCTGACTTCTCCTAACTACTTTGTAAAGACTGTCTCAATAGAGCAGCGAGGCTACTCTTTTGTTCAGACTTCATTTGGCTTAGGAAGGCAAGGAGGGATACCATCTAGAAAGCAGACTGTAGCCAAGCATGCTTTAGCTTAATTTTTTGAACAGTTTTGTAAGCAACTTCAGTAGCAAACAGACAAATAATCTGGTGTCTTCTGTTGTGTCTCTCTCTCTCTTTTTTTTTTTTTTTTTTTTTTTTTTTTTTTTTATTTAAGGGTTTTTTTGTGGTTGCCCAAAAAAAG